TCGAGCATTCGCGGTCTCCCTTCGGCAAAAATATCTTTGATTCTTCAGGGCCCGGGCTAGGGAAGAATTGCGGGCCTTTCCTTTCCGGGTACGTGCGACTTTGCCACCAAGAACTTATTTGAGCCAGATAGAAAAATAAAGCGGTCATCATAGACACCGGGCGAGCGATTTCATGTCGCACGGAGCGGAGGACCGATGTTGTTGCCGCCCAGGTTGCGCCGGTGGGCAACACAGCGGTAGTACTTGATTGTTGTCACCGCGAGGGAGTTGAAGAATATCGTCATGCGTATGTATCGCACCTAGGCCGGGGCATCGATGATGATGACTCATCGCCTCAGTTTTTTTTTTTGGGCGATGACACAGTGACCTACCTCCCGCGGTTGGAGGTCTCTCTGTTTTCCCACCGGCGCCCGCCGGCGCGCGATTTTGTAGAAACGCCGGATTTGTTTGGAACGTGTTCTGCGTGGCGAGCGGCGGTTTTCGCTGACAGTGGCAGGAGGGTAGTCGCTGGAGTGAAAGAAAACACCGACGGTCGGGTGGTGGGTGGTGGCGGAACTTAGAGAGAGCATTTTTTTCTTTTTGCGCCGCCGCGAAAGTATGCGCGCGTTTCGTGTGCACGCGATTGCGTAGTAGAGCGAAAAAGAGAGAAAAAGAGAGAAACAGAGGGTAGAAAAGGGGGGTGATCAAATAGAGGAGTGTTGGGTTCCCGCGGCAGAGGTTATTGTAGCGCCTGAAACCGGGGATGAAAGCGGGATGTCCCCGGGGTGCGGGGTTGCGCACATTGGCGAGCGCCTCTTGCTATGCCTACTTCTTTTAGAGATTGTAGAAGCGCACGCACGGCGGGCGGGGTTGCGCGATGTATTCAACGAGGGTTGTTAGAGGAGGGTGGAGGAACCGGATGTGATGATGGATCCCGTTTTTTGAAAGGAAAAGGCGGGTGGGTGCGCAGAGTTTTTTAACGCGACCGATACCACAATTTTTGCCTTTTTTTTTTTCTTGTATTTACTGTCGTTTTTTCACCGATGCTGGTTGGTGGCTTCGCCGTGGTGTTGATCTGAAAGAAATAATGGGGAACACATCAACCAGCGGGGTAGTCGAGTGGTGCCTGCTGTCTTGTCTATATTGCATTTTCGGTCACCCTGCGGCATTTGAGGTACCCTGGGGATCTGGCTGTGTAAAAAAGAGGTGGGGGGGGGCGGGGGGGGGGGTACCGACCCCTGAGCCCACATCTCTCAAGGTCTTCGACGATCACTTGACACATCGTTATGCTGGGTGGTGGGTACGGCAGGATTATAGCCGACGTCAACGGGCTGATGTTGACTATTTTTGGGCGGGGGTTACCCCGCTTCTTGTATGCACCCCCTTCTTAGAAACTGACTGTGGCCTGGAGGATAAGGGGTATGTGTGTTTCATTCCCCGGGTGTAAGCCCTGGCTTATTTTTGTTGGTCGTTGGTGCGGTCCATGCGCCCGTCCATGCACCTTAGATAGATGCGCGTTATTAGCGAAGCGCTTCGTTTTGCACAGCGATGGAATATCTGCGGCATAATTTCTCAAAGATTACCACCTCTATTTCGAGGGATTGGCTGAATGGAGGAGTCTTTGCGCCAGAAGTGAGGAACAGCTTTGAGTGACAGCCCTCCTGATTTTTGGGGGACTTACAATGAGTTGTGTCCGTTGTTTTTTTTCGAGAACGATACAAATCAAATGTCCATAGACGATCCATTGGTACAACAGAGCCCAGCAGGAACATGTGTACCAGACAGTCACGGTCAGTCTGTTTTGGCCCTTTCCCTAGGTTGCGGTGGCTAGAGCGAGGGGCTGAACCGCTCTTTTAAGTACCGTGGGTTCTCGCTGGGAAACAGCCTGCTCAATGCGAGAGAGAGAGACTTGGAACACCGCCGAGTGCTGTTACCTCGCAACTATTACTCGGTGGCCCTCAGAATGTTGAGACAATTGGGTAATGATTGTGGTATGTAGCTAACCCCAGGACCAGGTTTTGATGGTGTAGAAGAGGTGAAAGCGAGAGAGGGGCGCGCTGGCCAGCTCTCCAACACAGAAAACGACAAATACTCTTTGACTGCTTGCTGCCGTCGTGTGGCTACAACGTCTCTCTCGCGATGAAAAGTAACCACCACTACTGTGGTGTTATGAATACATTGATTGCTGATCTATCCCAGACTCTGATCTATCTGCTGTGTGTGGAAGAAGAGATGGATTTGTAGTGTCGTTGTGACCACGGAGGAAAGGCGTCGGCGTCAGTTGGACCAGTACTATACGGACATTACAAGGTACTGAGCGCAGACAACAATAAATAACAGTAGAAACGTGAACACTGCAAAGAGATGAGGTGGGCGCCGGGGAGGGGGGTAACATCCAACATGCATGAGGGAGAACAAGAAAATAGATGTACTGGTGGTATGACTCTTCCTTTTCTCCCCTTGTGACCCCGGCTTTTGCGAAGGTGCACAGACCGGGCGCCAGAATAGCCGTGGGAACAAACAACAGCTGCGCTTGGTGATTGGTGATGCGGGCCCCAAATAAATAGTCAACCGCGGTCCTCTGTCCACAGATAACTCCTCCAACAATCAACCGTTGTTGTAGTGATCTGTTGAAGTACCATGTGGAGCGATATTCAAAACTCGGCTACTCCACGACGAAGAGGACATCCCGAAAAATACTACCTGTGTGTTTGATCTCGACGAGACGGTTCCAACATGTCCAACACGATCATTCGGCACCCACCACCCAACATTTTTGTGGCATGTTTACTAGGAGTAATGGAGCTCTATTCTAAGGAAAATCGGTCCGGGGAGTGAGTGTGGTATAATCTTGTGTCACCTGCTGTGCATGTCGTGCTCTGCATCATTGAGACCCACCGTTGTTGGACACTCAACTCTAGCTCCAAATCCCTCAAGGCCAACCAAATGAGGGCCGCGGTTGCCCCGGTGACGGGATTCGACATGGTGTCCCCGCCCAACCCCCCCCCTAGCATCGTGTATCGAACGCCTCCATGGATGCGGGACAAAGCGGGCTTTTTTTTTTTGTCTTCTGCATCACCCTCTCTCCTACACACTGACTGCTGCAGAGGAGGAGAGGAGATGAGGGGCTATCATGGTGAGCTCGGCGGCACCTGCCACCTCTTCCTCGTATGACGCAATGAAACGCTTTTTCCCACGAATGCACCCGTGAGCTGTACGCTGCTGTGCGGGTGCGCACGCACCTCCTGTAGTCTACATCTAGCTGTCTTGTGTAGATGTGTAGAGCGAGTAAATACCATGTTTTGACCAGAGAGGTATTGCCAGTAGCAAGGGCAGGTGGAGATTGGCACATTGGCACCAACATGAACACACACGCTCGCGTTGTACCCGTATACCCTTTCTATCGCGTGCCCCGCTGCTGTCCCTATTCTTGGTTGTTGGCGCCTAACGCCACCTTCAGCAATGTCTTTTGTGGCCAACCAAGCCAGGGAACATGCTGCGGTTTGAGGCGCGCGGGGACGCATCATCCAACGGCTGATTTACCGTACCTTTCATGCCCATGACGACACACATGGAAGCTTCCCTCTTGGCGAACAGCAGCCTTCGATCCTACACTACAGCAGTAAACTGCTGTGCACAGACACAGGACTATGTTTGCAGTCTTTTCTCCCGGCAGTTTGCCGATGCTCGATCACACGAGGTCTTTCTTGATCAATAATCGAATGATGATGCGCACGACGGACGCCTACATGAGAGCTGTGGGGCGGCCACAGCCTTGAGGTTTTGTGCTACAGCAGTAGTAGCGTTGTGGTGAGCCTGTTGCGCTTTGCTCGCAACCAGCCGCCGTCGGAGTTCCAAGCACACCGCGCCGTCCGCTCTCCATCACATGGTAGCAGCCCCCCCTCGTTTTGCGTCTCCCGTTGAAGTTCAGTTTTGATGAATGCCCTTAGCGGCAACGCCTGACCCAGCAGCGGTCCCCACCTGTTCGATCCTGACAAGGGCGACTATTAATAATCCTGTGTCGAAAATGTGAAACGCTTGCGCCGTGCCGCCTTGAGCCCGTTAGGTACAGGGGCGCGTGTCACTGCTGTACATTCACACGGGTAGTACGCACAGGCCTTACGTATCCGCCGCCGGTGTAAGCTGGACTTTCGTAGAGAAGATATTTAATATTTTGCCCTGCTCACGCGGGGCTGCCTCCAATCCGAGGTCCGCTCTTCCTTCGAACGTGTTGTTGTTGTTGTTGTTGTTGTTTTTCTTCACATTAAACTCGTGTCAGTTGCTAATACATATGTAATCCCAAAATCTAGCGAAGACTCGGCCCGTGGTCACAAAAATGCTAAAGCCATCAGAAGCTCTAAAGAACACGCACACTATTAGCAAGAAAAGGGTACACAAGCCCGAGGAGGTACACCTACAATCCCTGCAGCACGTTTGCGTGCTCACAACTGAACTACGTGTGTTTGTGGTTGGTTGGTCAACAACGACGTCTCGTGTTCTCCAAGTCACACGGCGCAAGATTTCAGATTTGCGCCAACATGGGACGCTCGGCTTTTGCCGAGAGACTTTTTTGCCGAACTACTTGCGGGAAAGTTGCGGCCAACCCTCTCGCTGCGCCTCCCTCCCCGGCTTTGTCCTAGAGAGTTAGTTGCCCCTGCTGGAGAAGATCTCGGGGTGTGCTGCGGCAGCAAACGACACACGCCCGATTTGCCGATGAACGAGCTGGTCTGGCGTCTATGTACCTATGTATCTCGTGATGACTCCACTTGATGTGTGTCTACCGCAGTTTGAAGTTTTAAAAATGGCCAGCTTCCCCGGATGGCCTTTTAGGCCTTTTTACCTTCTCTCCTCTCTGTGCAGTACACACCAACATTGGACCAGGGGATGTTCCTCTCTCTCTCTGGCCTGTGATGTTGAACCCCGGTTCTTTTCTGCTTCACAAGAGCGTGTGCGTAGGGGGGAGCGGAGGGCCTCAGACTATCTGTTGGTTGCAGACCCTTCGGGTCAGTATACTACTGTACCCTTTGTTAGGTAAAGTTGACCTGCTGCCACGGGAGTCGGTAAGTGATCAGATGAAGGTACAGGGTAAAGAGATCGGAACGGTTTTTGTGAAGACAACATACTACTATTTATACGCCTGTACAGATGGATATCACGCGTTCGCCTCGCTGGAACTTTCAGGCCGTGCGCCTTTCTCTCTTGTAGTCGTGTCTTTTGGCAGAAGCATGGTCCTCTCGTACATCATACAACAGACAGCACAGCGGTAGTTTGCATAGGAGAAGGAGCAGCAGCGGATCTGAGTACAACTTCTTTTACATAGAACGTATCCGCGCCGGAGCTTCATGTATGTATGTCCAGCAGGAAGCAGTATAGACAGAGCGATTTGTTCCAGTAAAAGGGGCAAAAGGACTGCTGTACTCTGCCGTATACGCCTGTGTTGTTGAATCGTCCTGTCGGATACATATTGCAACTAAATGTTGTGGGGGCGTCCTGTTGGGTATCGCAACATGCAAGGAAGGTTGCCAGTCAGTCCACAGTGCATCAGCACAGCGGTCGTGCCGAGAAGAGAGAGAGAGAGAGGAGGTCCGGTGCTATGAGGTGAAATGAAATTGTTGACGGTGGTTTCATCGACGCCGGAGAGACAAAAAATCAAAATAGCTTGCTGATGATGCTAAATACGCATGTATTTTTTATTTTTGAACGTTTTCATCGACGGAGATACAAAATGAAAAGCTTGCCGGTGTGCTACGTATAGTAAAAGTTACATTAGTGGACAGAGTACAGCCAATGGAGCTATTACCGAACGCGCACTAAAAAATAGGAGTGCCCCACACAGGTTCGCATAGAGCTTTACGAAGCACGGCCGAGACTGCTGTACGCACACATTAGATGCAGGGAGGACTGCTGTATCGCAGTATGTGGATGCTTGTAGAAGGCTGGCGAGATGGATTTGACTTCCTCTCAAGATTCTTTATCACTCGGTGAAAAAAGTGGAAAGACAGAAAAAAAAAAAAAGCTCACAAGAAGCCCAGTCTCCAGTCGGTTTCAATCCACTCACTGAAAAGACTCCACCACATCCCTTTCGACCGAGGTTACATCTCGAACGGGTAGTCTTTCTGTGAGGTTATGTTTACTTAAAAAAAAAAAAAACTGCTGTGATGCAGTTTGACACACGTAGTTTCGTCGCCTACACTCGTCAGCAGCCCGAATATGAAGGGATGCGCAGATACCCCTGCCGATGCTCTCGCTTTCGGGAGCTGCTTGCTTTGCCAACTGGCAGCGAAATCATTTCGAAAGGCCCGTTGGTGCGTTTTGCGAAGGATCTACCTATGCAGATGAAGCTGCAAGCTCCAGCTCACCAGCGGCTGGAGGGGGCGCGTGACGGGAAATGCACACCGCCGCGGTCCACACGTTGCAAGTTTTCGTCTCCCCCTAGCACAAGCCTTGCTTGTACGTCGTGATACGACCTGGGGGATGCACCAAAGGCACGAGAATCGAGCACAGGTTATATATTTAGTTTTAAATAGCTCCATACGAATGCATGTGTGTAATATTTGTCTCGAGGGGACCAGCATGTGTGAAGGTGTTGGGTTTGATATTTCGTGGAAGGCGACCTCGGCTTCTGGATGGCGAAGTTCTGTCGCAGGCGGGGCGTTACGTCAGACGGCTTTGAAACTTGGCACGCAGCAGTTGTGTCGACTGGGTCACATCATCGGCTCTCGAATTTTCGTGGACGTAGTGGAGCAGGCTGGGGAGTTGTCCGTGCGGGAAAAAATGGGTTCACCTGCTGGGCGGCGGAATAATTAATAGCGGCCGGATGTGGCCGAACTGCTGCGTGTAGGCGCGCTCGCTCTGCTCGACACCAGCGTTGCCAAGACTTGCGCGGCATTCTTATTTTCTCCTAGCGCATCGAACCGCGGGTATTTGGCTTGGGGCTGCATCTTGCTCGGTTGTGGAGAGCGTCGTGGGAACATCGTGCGTGGCTCTCCGAAGATGTTGTAGCTATCATGTGATTTCGGCATCCTCTTCGTCTCGGGAACAAAAGGGATACGACTTTCGGTCAGAAACCTTGGCAGGGTTTTTGGTATGTATGATGTAAGTAAACATGTTGGATAAAGCATCCGGTCGGGGAAGTTGGGCTAGGGGGTTAGGGAATACGGCCTGCGCCCCCCTTTCCTATTCTATTTCCGCATGAACTTGTTAATCGCGCGAAGGCGGCCCCTTTCGGTTCCAGGGGGTGTGGTATATTACGTATGCAACCTAGGGTACCGTACCGTCGTCCAAGCCACGGACTGAAAATACATGTTAGAGGGCCGATGGTGTCATGTGAAAGTATGATGACCCTCTCGCATCGTTTCAGAAATGCCCCTTCTCCCGCCGCACCAACAGCAGTCAGCGTTGTGGTTATGTAGCTCACACGTCTTTCGCCGACCGCGCGTTGTGGGAGTGCGTCGTTGCGAGATCGCCTCCACCTCCACGACTCCCAGCTCCGTCCAGCGACGTTGTCCATATGGCATCAACACCCGCCTAGTTTTTCCACTTTTGCGTCCTTCCCCACAAGCCATCCCTTTTGGTAACGACCACATGCTCTCGCAGGCGGTTGGCGATGCAGGACGCCATCGTGCGACCATCAACTGACTGCGCTCGGTGTGTAGAGTATCTACGTTGGGTGTCATTGCTCCTCGCAACAGCCTCTGCGATATGTATGCGTAACGTCGGATTTCACTTCTTCTCACAACGACAGCAGCAAAAAAATGTGTCGTTCGCACATGCATACGTCGGATTCCACTTGTCCTCGCCACGGCAACTGCAATATATACCATGCGTGCGTTGGACTTGAAGGCTGCTCGCACCGACGACCACTGCAACATGTACGTGTGCGTACAAACTTTGATACGACTTTTTTGTTTTCTGCTTTTTTGCCCAACCATCGGGTGCAGGCGTCAATCCGGATGCACCTGCAATGTGCATTTTTTGTTCACCACGTTTAAATCAGCGCTCACACAAGCGTCGACCTAATTGTTGCACTTCTGGCAACCATCGGGAGCAGGAATCAATCCGGATGAAGAGCTGGCGTCGGAAGCGCCCGTGAAGGAGATGTACGTGCGGACGCCGCCCAGGCTCATCAGCTCTGCACGCTGGGTGGTCAGCTTGGACATCATCTTGACCATCGCGGTCTGGTTCTGGGCGGAGGGATGGAATGGGGCCGATTTTTGGGAACACCAGGTGTGTTTTTGTGTTAAGTGTATTTTACATGTTTTGCATCGACCGCGCTAACCGGCTGACCAGTGAGAATGAGAAGGCCTCAGTCTTGCAGCGTTTGTGTGTCAATCTTGTAGCGTTTGTTTGTCAATCTTGTAGCGTTGGTGTGTCGGTCTTGTAGCGTTGGTGTCGTTCCTAAGGAGGTCATGTAGCGAGCGGCCGTTCCTAGTTTCCAAGGCACGGCAGTCTATCCTGTACAGGGGCTCGTGTTTTTGGTTGTCGATCTTGACGCGGGTGCACTGTTGTGGGCTATCAACCTTTGCAGGATTTCATTAAGCAAGCGTGTTCGGTGTGTTTTGCGTTGGTCAGCGGGCGGTGATGTAGCGAGCGGTCGATGCTAGTTTACGAGACATGTACGTATATTACACAAACCGGAATTCGTTTTCTTTTTTCTTTTTACGTGCTCGATCTTGACCACAGGTGACGGACTACCAGTTCGATTCCTCCGCCATCGAGGTGGTGGTTCTGGGCCTGGTGCGGTGGCTGGTGCTCGTGGTGGTTCTCCTCCGCTCCAGGGCGTGCCTCGTCAGGGTTAAGCACGACGGCTCCATCAAGCCCTCCCCAGACGCTATCATCGCGGTGACCGTGTGCGCTGTCTCCGCCGGCTACTGCGTTTTCAAGGTGGGGTGTGGCTTGGTTGACGTTTGAGGTTTGAGGTTGCGGTGCCCCCCGTATATTATAGTCTGTCGTGTGCTCATGGAAGAGTAGCTGGTGGGCAAAACGAAAGTCGTTTTTGTCTCCACGAAGGCACCGTTGGCAGTTTTCGTGTTTTTGTTTGGCTTGGTCTGGTATGTTTGTGTTGAAATGGATCACGATGTTGAGAAACCGACCGACCCCCTCTCAGTTCCCTGTCTCACATGTCTCCGCATTTTGATTGGCTTGGTCTGGTACACTACTCAACGATTCGAGAACCAACCCCCCCCCCCCCCTCCTGCTCCTTACGCCTCTGCATTTCGATTGGCTTGGCCTTTGGTAGATTTTTTGTCTCATTGGATAACAGATTTAAGAACCGACCCACTACCCATCCCCTGCTCTGTGTGTCTCTCCGTGTTGATTGGCTCGGTCTGGTGTTGTAGATCGGTTTTTCTGCCGCGTCGGAGGACGGTAGCACCGGGGGTTGGGCCGTCCCTTCCGTGACTGCGGCGATGGCGTCTCTGCAGGTGGTCTCCCTCGTCAGGCTGCGAAAGTCTGTTCGGGCCATCACTGCAAGGTGAGCACAACGGGGGCAGGCAGCGGCAGCAGCAGCAAGCAGTAGCGTCAAGCCGAGCGTGCAGCAGTAGGACAGGCGTTTGTACACTCGCCTCCCATATGCGGAAGTACTCCTGTTTCTCCCCCCGTCAGGCTGCGAAAAGTCTGTTCGAGCCAATCTCTTCAAGGTGGACACAACAGCAGCAGCAGCAGCAGCAGCAGCAGCAAGCAGCAGCCCCAAACCGAACGCACAGCAGCGTAGGACCGACGTTGTACACACGCCTCCCGTGTGGAACTGTTGTTACGCTCATCCCACCCCCCCCCATTCTGTAGTTTGGCACGTTGATATGTGTGTCAAGGAGAGCGCGGGTTGGTTCATCTTACGGCCCAATAGAGCGAGGGAGAGGAAAACGATACACCCCCTTATGCCTTTCGGGGGGTCGGGGGGGGGGGTCGTGTGGTTGTTCTTGGCGGTGGAGGGTGCTCCCCACCTTTGTTGGGTGCTCTCTCTGTGGTTGTAGCGCTACGGGTCATTGAGGTCGTCTTGCTCTCTCTCTCTCTCTCTCTCTCTCTCTCTCTCTCTCTCTCTCTCTCTCTCTCTCTCTCACTCACGTAGCCTTTTCTTGGTTTTGTTTACTTTTTTTTTTGGGAGGGGGAGGTTTTCCTTGTTGTTTGGATGTGTCTCCCCGTGAATGTACTTGATAAGTTTGAAATCTTGCCTGCCGAGTCATGACGAAGATAACCGCGTCGTCTCTATGTGGGTAAATGTTAATATTTGTTCTCGCGTCTTTTTTACATTACTTTCGGAGGACAACAAGAGCGTTCCATTTGCGCAGTAATTGTAGGACTGTGCTAGGCTTGACCCCATCGCGAGGCCCTCTCACGTCCCTCCTATTTTGTACATGTAGCCTCTTGCTTGCCGCGTAGGCTCTACGGTTAAACACCTCATACAGAGGGCGTCCCTATTTAGTGCCGGCACGTGCCCGGAAAATTAACCGGCACTCTCTGTATGTACCGGACCGGCATCATTCAAAAGTAGTGATGACAATGACTTGGAAATTGAGTGTGTGCCCGCCGAAACAGCGGCACTATATCGGGCATTGGCACTATTCAACTGGCACTAAACAGGGACCCCCTATGTATAGGT